AAAAAAAAAAAAAAAAAAATACATTCAAATGGTTAAAGCTACAGTGTTCAGGTCCAACACGCGAGCCTTTCTTTGACCTGAAGGAGCAGCTGCTGCCGCGTCTCCTTCGGTGGCTGTGTGGGTGCCCTTGCCTCCTGAGCACCTCCTGGATCCTTGTCCTTCTGTCCAGCACTGTCCAGGTCAGGTTTCTTAAATGTACCAAAGGGACAGCCAGGGTTGTGGGGAGGCGACAGTGTGGGATAGGGCGGTGGACAGGCTGGACGAGGTCGGCACGGTCATCCCAGCCTCTTTTCAGGCCTGAGCAGGGTACAGGGAGCTGCAAAGGCCCTTTAGGCTTTTCTGGGATAACACTAGAAGCAAAAAAATGTGCTGACATGCACCTGGGGGCCATCTTCTGTCTCCTGTAGGGAGAGTTTCCACAGGCAGGTCAGGACCCTCCCTATAGGCTCTCCACTGTGCTTCCCAGCAGGGGGCAACTCCAAGGGCATAGCAGTGAGCCTGAACAGGGCACCCAGAGAGAGGATCTGGCCAGGCCATTGTGACAGGCCACAGGGGGTGTTTGCCAACTCACAGTTGCCTCCTGAGCTGCAAAATCCCTGGCCTGGAAACAAGGTTTGCAGTCTTTTCTTAGCTAGCAACCAAGCCGGGCACCTGCTGGGCTGTACACCTGGCATGTGGCATTCTCCTCCCTGGAGACTTCCAGTGCTGGTCATCCTGAAAGGAGAGACAGCATTGGAATACAGGGAAGTGTTCCTTGTTTGCATCTCATTTCTCATGGGAATTCTTAGCTGTGGCGAGGCTCTGGGAGAGAGAAGGTGGGGTGCTCTAGGATCAAATGAAGAGTAGGCATTCAAAGCTGTTCACGGGAGGGTCCAGGAGAGCCATAGAGGTTAACAAACAGGGCACCATGTGCTGACGGTCCTGCATCCTGCCAGGAGCAGTGTGCCAGGCATGCAGGGCACACAGATGGAAGTGAGCGCTCTCTCTGCCCAGGTGAACCATGGAGCCCAGCTTGTACCAGGCCTGCTGGGCCAGAGGGATGCAGAAATAACCTTTGGGGCTTGCGGTCCTCAGCCTTGGGCACAGGCAGGACCCCTGGAAGGATGCATCCTGAGTGACCCAGAGGGGAAAGTCTTCCTTGAAGAGGAGAAACAACCTCCCAGCCCCACAGGGGTCTGGAGAAGCTTCTGTCCTAGAATTCCAAAGACTGAGCTGTGTAGATGACAGTGTAAGTGGATGCAAGCAGGGAGGTCCTGGTGGTGTACATGAAAACATAAGTTAGACTCCAGAAGGCACAGCCAAGTCATGATCAGTCCTACATGGTAAGCATCTCTGCATTTGAAATGAAAATCCATAGGCACTTTCCTGAGATGCTCCTTTGTCACCTGTGTCCCACCATGGATGGTCTCAGCTTAATGCTGGCCAGAAGTTCACCTCTCTGCAGGGTGGAGTACAGAATAGGCATCCCTGGGGCTTCTCAGCATGGGAACTCGAAGCACCAAGAAGTTCTGACCCTGGCCATACTGCAAGCCAGACACCAAAGCTGGATGACCTGTTGCATTTCAAACCTGTGACTACCCAAAGCCCCCAAATCAGAGACATATCCCTGAGGGGCTAAGAATGAAACTCATATGGGCAGTGCCTCCAGGTCAGTTCTAGCAGTCAATAGAAGGATCCCATATGCAATCCAGAAGCCAGGTTCGATCCTGATTTGCATTAGCCAGAGTGTCTCTGAGGCTGAGCATCTGTCAGGAGGGCAGGGCCTGGCTTTGTTCCCCAACCCTATTCCACACTATGAGGACATGGACTTAGTGAGGCCATGAGCTTTAAATACCTCCATTAAGTTCAACGCAACAGAGCATGCCAGAGCAGGGCCAACCAAAGAAGGCACCCTGGTTCATCTGGCGCCCAAATATATGCACCGTTCAGGAATCCTAGCTCCATTTTTCTTGGGGGTTCTTGGCCACAAGGGCCAAGGCAGCCAGGAAGTGTATGCTTCAAACCAAGGGGGTACCGCTCAGGACTTTATGATTTTGTAGTCTTCTTGGCTCCCTCTCAGTATCTGTTTGCAGGCCAAGGCGGCACATACCTCTTAGCAAATGAGCCCTCTATGTCTCAACCACGGACACACACTGGGGCAGGTTCTGACTCCAGTGGCCACGTGACTACCATGAACACAGCAAAAGGCCTCCTGTCTCTCTACTGGATCCCACCTCCACTCCCTCTGGGCTGGTTTTGGCCTTTAGGGCACGTGATTCTCGAGCTATTATTGCATTATCTCGTACAGATGGGAAAGAGGCCAGATGCTCCAGGTGGGGCCCTGTGCCCTGCCGTGAGATAGAGTGATTGACAGAATGGACTCCATGCCGTACTCAGCAGCAGCAGGCAGACAGATTGTTGTATCCAACAAGTCCTTTCCTGAACACCAGGTTGAACAGCTGGAGGGGTACATGAATGTTTAAGATGGTCGGTGCTCAGAAGTGGTTGGGTGATGATGCAAACAATGCGAGGTCTTACTGTATTGAAGCTCTACAGAGGATGTTAATTAGTCTGCCACCTCCTGCTTACTCTTGACCCTGAGCCATGGCCTTGGCATATTCTGAAGCAGTAAAGGAATGTTGGCCACGGGGACCTCTAACCTGAGCCTCATGTTCTCTCCTTGCAAGGGAATGCTTCCCATTATGGAGTGTGCACCACCAGGTCCCAGCTGTAGAAGGTCATTTCTAAGGCTGGAACTGCAACAGCAAAGGCCCGGGGACCAAGCCTCATGACAGCAGAGCAGGCAGGATGGGGCTCTCTGCGTGTTACACCAGGAGGCTCATGAGAATGTGTTCTCCCCACAGGCCCAGGCGCAGTCAGCGAAGTGAGCAACGGCACGTTGAGGAGGGCCGGCTGCATTTGGCTGCTACCTCTTCTGGGCTTGCACCTACTCCTCAAGTTTTGATGTGAGTGCCACTGCCCCCTGGGGCCAAGCTGCCGCCACCGCAACCACCAACACAACAGCAACGGCAACACCGACAGCAACACATAAGATATACTCAAACGAAATTCGGAGAAACAAAGCCTAATGGGACAGAAATTTGAGGGAGGGGAACAAAGAATACTTTGGGGGGGGGAAATGTTTAAAAAAGGAAATTGAAAATTGCCTTGCAGATATTTAGGTACAACTGAGTTTTCTTTCTTTTCCCAAATGGGAAGAACACACACCCGGCTTGGACCCACCCATGAGCTGCATCATGTGACCTCCCTGTTGCCAGCATGGGCAAGGGGTCAGCCACTCTGCCCGCTGAAGTGCCCCTGGCATGGAACGTTCTGGTGTCGGCCATCCCAGATCCAATCAGACACTAGAGACGAACACAGAGTGAGACATGCAGGCCCAGGTGTGCCACTGCGGCCCATCGGCAGCCTGTGCCCCACCGTGTGTGCAACCCAGGGTGGAACTCAGAAGGAAAGAAAGAAAAAGAAACACAAGACAGTCCGACAGCAACAATAATCCCACCAACAGTCACAAAAGATACCGTTAAACATTGTTTGTTTTTGTTTTTGGTTTGTTTTTTTTTTTTCCTTTTGCTACATGGACATCATGGATAATAAGGGATTCTGATTCATTATTAATTTTATTAATTATATTTTCTGATACGAGTCTAGAACTTAGTGCAAAAACAAGTCAAAACTAAAATACACAAGCGAAAGGGGTGAAGAGAAGTCTGTCTGTTAAACATGCAAAACGAATAGTGTACTTCTAACTAGGTTTACAACTGGTGGACCACGCACCGGGCATTAACCACCTGGTGAGGATTTGGTGTACCCACCAAAACTACACACAGTGTAACCCACGTCTCCACCAGCGCTCCAGGCTCCTCCTCGCTCTGATGTTTCGCGCAGACAGGGTCTGCCCTCTCCCTCCTGTGTAGACACGGAAAGGTGGTCCGCACTGTTTCTTGGGTTTGTTGGCTCTGCTTCTGTTGATGACATATATTATATAGTATATATATACATATATTTTTTTTGTTAGAGTTCTAGCCATTTTTTTTTTCTCAGCAGGGTCCTCTCTCAGACATTACTGCATGCTGTATATGGCGTTAGCTGTGTGTTGATCTTCTAAAAGATGATAGAGTTTACTGGTAATTGTGTAATCAGCTCCTGCCTTTTTATTTTCTTGGGTTCTTTACATGTCAGAGACATTTATAAAAAGTGAAAAGACAAGAAAAACGAAACAAAACAAAACAAAACAAAAAAACAACTAACACCAGGCGCAGCGGCCTTCCAGTGCGGCTCTCGGAGGCGAAAGCCGTCCCAGCCAGGCGGCCTCCCTCCCCACCATGCCTCCCGGCGTTAACAGACAGCAAAGCAACTGAACCAACTAAACCGTCAGTAACCACCTGCTTTAGCCCATTATGGGAATCTCTGATGCCTTTGTGACCACTGGAGAATTTAATCCTCTTGGTTGATTTTATTTAATTTCCCACCTTTGTGTGAGTGTGTATGAACGAGAAGAAAATGCAGTTTTTAGGTAACCTTTTCTTCTCCTCTCCCGAAGTCTGGGGACCAGAGAGGTCTCGGGGAGGGGTCCTGGATGTGACGAGGGAAAGTGGGATTGGGGAAGGGGAGGGAGGGGTTGTCTCTGACTTGACATTAAAAAGTGTTCCATGTCCCTCTTCACCTGGTGTGGCACCTCATTCTGCAGTGAGGGAGGGGCCGGGAGGGCAGAGCCTGCCTGGCTTGGTTTGAATGGTCTGGGGGCGGGGGGCGGTCATTACTGGCAAATGCTCTGGTGACAAACAGGAGGATCATGAGACCACCTGATCCTCCTCACAGAAGCAAGGCGAGGGTGGGTCTGAGGGGCCAGCGTCCCTAGTGCCTTCAGGTGAGGCTGTAGCACTCTGCTTGCGTTGTCACTGCCCCTCACTCCCTGGGCGGAACGTCAAGCGCAGGCAGGGAGAGAGCTTTGAGGTTCGCTCATTCCTGGAGGCAGCACAGCACTGCTCACACACACACACACACACACACACACACACACGTTTGAAACATTGTGGTGTTGAAGAATCCCGAGTCCCATCAACCAGGATTTGGGGGACTCTTTTCCCTCCATATCTGCCCCCAAACCTCACTCCTAGCCACAGAGTAAGAGGAGGCAAAGTTTTTAATACAGACTCAGATATAAGTAGTGCTAACCTGTTCTGTGTGGTCCTGGGAATGAAGCTGAAGCTTGGCTGAGAGACAGAAACAAGTCAGAGCAGAAGCGCTCCGGAATCTCTGTGCTGTCATCAGGGGTCCATTTCACTGGAGAGGAGCAGCAGTATTTGGAAAGAAACCACGTCATTTCCGGCTGCCGCCCGCTAACCAAGAGGCTGTTGACTTCTCCTTTCTTTTGCACTTCTGCCCTCCCACCCCCACCCTCACCCCACCCCCAGGTGCCAGAGACTCTAGCGTCATCCTGACAGCAGGGTCTGGAATAACCTGGCCAAGCCTGCATTGGTGTCATCCCTCCCTGTGTCCCGGAACTGCTCAAGGTGAGGGGTGTTGGGTCTTCTTAGAATGAAAGTGAGTGAGTGAGACTGACTAGCTGTCTTTTGCCCAGCACCTCTGCAGACGCTGACCAGAAGATCCAGGTGCAGATTTGGGCTTGAGGAACAGTGGGGGAAACAGTGGTGATTGTCACATTCCTAAACTGAATAACGGAAACATCTTGATTTTAAAAAAAATGTGCCAAGGCACCTATGAAGAGATACCTCTTAGGCTTTGCTAGGACAAAACAGAGTGAATACAAGCTGCATTTGAGTGGGAGCATTCACTTCCAAATCTACAATAGCACGTCTCTACTAGTATCTGTAAGTTACTGTTGATAGACACTGATGACATGGACTGCTACTAATCATGCTTCAGATCCAGGTCACCCTCCTTCCAGGCCTGAGTGGTCAGTTAGGGCCAACTCTGCAAAGTGGCACTGATGAGGAAGACTTGATTTTTTCTGCTTGTCAACTCAGCAGTCCTGCCTTGTCGTTCTTTAGGGGTTTGGTTATGAAGAGCATGTTGTTTATGGAGCCAGTTCTGCCCTGGCTGGTGGGTTCTCCAGATGGGAGACTCCCTATTCTGCCTCAGGAGGGTTTATTTGTTTCTTTCTTTGCTCATCTTGTACCTTGCATGCCATGTAAGCCCCAACCATATGCGTTTCAATCTTTAAATGAAATGTATGGTTACTCAAGAGAAAGGGCATTCTCCTTCCCAGGCCTTCAAAGCCAGAGGACGTGACTTTGACAAGAGCTTGCAGGGGCAGTTGTCAGTCTGCCTCTTCTGGAAAGAGAAGAGACTTCATTACAGTGAGTCAAGAAAATCACCCTGAATAGAGCCTGTGGTGACTTTTCTTGGTACAGGTAATGTGGGAGATAGTCACTATAGGCTGGCCTGCATTTCAGGGGTGCTGGACCCTTGGCAAGTCAGAGATACAATATCCCTAGCATTAGGCTATCTCTTGCATAAATCATCATCTGGGACTGGCAAATTTCTATCCCATGATAGTCTTTGTGTGGATAGGCTCGGGGGCAATGCGTGCTCTCTAACCACTCTAACCAGACACATCTGTAGAATCCCATTCATCTTCCAGCAGACCCTCTCCTTTCCAGCCATGCAGTTGTGCACCAGTTCTCTCACCCCTGTAGTTAAGCCTTCCCATTAGTGCTTCCACACACCAGGTCCTTCTCAACTTGAAACTTCATGAGGACTGTCCGAGGACGGCCCTGTGTTCAGTGGGATCTCCCACTCTGGAATTGTGTTCATTGATGATCCACAGATGTCTCTTCTTCCTCCATACATGTTGAGCACAGTGATGATGAGTGACAGCTGTTGTTCTTCAAGATGGATGTAAGTTAGAAAATGAATCAACATTCAGATATAATTGAGGCTCAGCCCCAACAGTACATACTGCTGCTACTGCTGCTGTACTGGGGCCACAAGGGAGGCTCGGGTTTGATTCCCAGTCCCACCTAAAGGCCAGGAGTGGTGCTGTGCTCCTGTAAACCAGGCAACTCAGGGAGACTGAGGCAGGTGAATCTCAAGGTTGAGCCTGACTTTGGCTATGTAGTGATACCCTGCAGGAAAGAGAGGCATCGAGGCACGGGCTGGAGTCCCAGCTGGGAGACTGAGGCAGGACAACATATTGAGACCTTGTCTTTGGAAAAACAAAACAAAACTGATTAGATTTAGCAATTCCACTGGACTGACCCCCTCTTCGTCTGATACCTCCTGATCTGTGAGTTTAAGAGGAAAGACAGCAGCACTAATCAATCACAATAATCTAAAGTGTGGATTCGTTTGATTAAAAAATGTAAAATGTGGGTTCAGCAAGAAATCAACAATTTCCTATTCTTCCAGTGGTAAAAATTTGAGCTACTCCTCACTGTAGGAAGAAATGAGATGCATGAGGCGTGATACGGAAAGTTCGAGGTCCCTGCTCAGGAAGCCTCACGTGTGTGCCTTGTGCTGAGGCTGGCCAAGTGTCTCTGCTGCTCTGGGCTATGCACCCTGCATCATATAAGCAACCTAAAATGGCTGAAATTAGTGGTCTCTGATAGAGGAACTAGGAACTAACTTCTTTCAGCATTTTTTAAAAAACATTTTAAACCACATCCCAGAGCTCATTTGGCCCAGAACTTGCTCATTGGGTTTTGATTGTGTAGTGGTCCCTCCATCAGCATCTGATAACTGCTCAATCAAGCCATTCTAAAGCATCAGTTCTTGCCTTCACTGTTCTTAATTCAAACGCTAGTTCAGTAAGTGTTTCATCCCACCCGCCTCCAAGTCAATAAATGCAAATTAATATCCCCATGATTTGTGAGTAACTGACCTCACCACCTCTCTCTGCATCTTCATTCCCATTTTCTCATTTCCCCAAAACTCCAGACTGCTCCTTTGTGTCCATATCATGTGATTAGAACCACGCTGTTTGTAGGAAAGGCTCTGTAATTGCTGAGCTTAGGTTAAGATACATTTTTAAAACTTATGAGGCATTTTGGAGCATTACCTTTAGGAAAGTGACTTTGTCTAACCTTAGTTTTTTGAATGTTGATTTTATTCCCAATGCAAGTCTCTAAGTAATTTGTATTTGTTCTTCTGGCAATTTTGAAAGCATATGAGCTTGTTTCTATCTTTTAGGGGTTATCAGCATTACTTTAAAATACATTATTCTAGGCCAGTGGGTGGCAGGGTAAGGCACTGGATCCCACATGGCCCAGTGATGTTTCAAATCTCAGACCTCATGGCTTGAAAAACACACCAGACGTGCATATGTGTGTGCCCAGAATCCCAGGAGGAGAGTGGAGGAAAAGAGACTGTGGCATGGCTAGACCCCTGGCGAGTGATTTCTCACTTTCCCTCACTCTCTCTCTCCAGTGAGCATGTGCCCTATGACAAAGATCTGAAAGAAAAAAGAAAAAAAAAAAGGAAATTTATTATTCTTCTATCAGTACATCTTTGAGGGGACTTCAGAAAGTTTGTGGAAATGGGATTAAAACATGAGTTTACTTTAGTGCAAACAATTTTGAAATCCATGTGTAGTTTTTTTCATAATAGGCTTTGTCCATGAACTTTCTGAAAACCCCTCATACTTGATTAACACTTTCTAGCATAACATAGCACGTACCTTGTTGCCAGTGAATCCCATTTTGGAATTTCTGCATCCCAGTGTTGTGTTTGGATACAGAACTGAAATTGCTAATCAGTAGAACTAGGCTCTGATCCAGATTCTGTCACTGGTTAGTTGGATTCCTTTTTCTTACATTTTACATAAGATGTTACGTCTGAAGATCGTTAATGTTCTGTGTGGTTTTAAGATTCAATAATCAAGTGATTTCAGGTTTTATAACATTTCCACATGAAAAAAGTGGGAGAGAAGCATTTTTGATAAATGAAAACTGAAGAGGTAAATTTCAGCAAGTTCCATAGTCAACACATTGTCTTTATTTCTACAATGGCTCATAAGAAGGGGAAATGGAAGATCACAAATGTCATTTATGCAGATGTTTGAAGTAAGTTCCATAGTCAACACATTGTCTTTATTTCCACAATGGCTCATAAGAAGGGAAAACGGAAGATCACAAATGTCATTTATGCAGATATTTGAAGCGACTCTAAAGAGAACTGACGAGATAGACACCACAGTGCTTGGGAAGGAGTTTGTTGATAAAAACGGCAGTGGCTTTTCAGGAACGAGGAATGATATCAGCCCAACCTCTTCTATACGAAGTGAAAGAGAATAAGCTGCCACACACCCTAACGTCTGCAGGAGCATAATCAATTGGGTGCCAGCTGATTTCTTGCAATTCTCCCTAGGA